GTTGTTGTCTTTTCCCTGAACGAGAGATCCTTACTTTGGAAAAAATCTTAAAACCTGGTCCTACATAGTTTTCCCTGGGAGAAAAAAAATCTAATAAAATCTGTGCATTAAGGCCGTACTGAAGGACTGTGCCCATTGCGATCATGTAAGTAGTGGGCAGCATTCCTGGACATGGCTGTGTAAAACATGTTTAGACAGTTAAGACTGTAAAAAATAAAGTGTAAGTGTTTAGTCCTTTTTATCCAAATCTTTGTGGTTGTGGAGATTTTCGTCTGTGAAATTGAGTTACAAGCTGTGGGTTTGGGAGGGTTAACAGTATCTCTCTATGTCCGCCTACAGCTCCTCCTTCGACCTCGACTATGACTTTCAGAGGGATTATTACGACAGGTGAGCGCACAGGTGTTGGTATCGGCTCTCTTTCTCTCTCTGTCCTTCCTGTTGCTCTGTGTGGTCCCAGCGGGTCTTCATCACCGTCTGTTGTTGCTCTCCTCCTGCCCCCCTGACGGCAGCGGTCAGGTGTCATACATCGTGTGTGCTAACCCCCTGCACTCCCCTTTCTCTGACAGGATGTACTCGTACCCCTCCCGCGTGCCTCCCCCGCCTCCCCCTCTGTCCCGGGCAGTCGTTCCCTCCAAGCGGCCGAGGGTCAGCACCAGCGGGGGGCGCCGCACCAAGACCAGCTTCTCTTCCAAGAGCAGCCAGAGGAGCTCCTCACGCACCAGTGAGTACCAGCATGCTCCGCTGTTCGTTCACTGTTCACTGGCTACACACCACACCGCTCTTTCTAAAGACACACTCAGAGAAGGCCTCGCACCAGACAGCACCAGCATGCTGCACTGCTCGTTCACTGGTCTCTTATCTACATACCACACCGCTCTTTCTAAAGACACTCAGAGACAGGCCTCGCACCAGAGCACCAGCACGCTCCGCTGTTCGTTCACTGTTCACTGTCTGCACACCACACCGCTCTTTCTAAAGACACTCAGAGACAGGCCTCGCACCAGAGCACCAGCACGCTGCACTGCTCGTTCACTGGTCTCTTATCTACACACCACACCGCTCTTTCTAAAGACACACTCGGAGATGGGCCTCGCACCAGAGTACCAGCACGCTCCGCTGCTCGTTCACTGTTCACTGTCTACACACCTCACTGCTCTTTTAAAGACACACTCAGAGACAGGCCTCACACCAGACAGCACCAGCACGCTGCACTGCTCGTTCACTGGTCTCTTATCTACACACCACACCGCTCTTTCTAAAGACACAGTTGCTATACGCTGTACAGTCCTGCATAGAAACACCGGGAAGAGCCAATCCCTACACCTGCTGTTCCTTTGCTCACTTGCTGCCTCTCTCTCAGTGAAAGCAGACGACCTGCAGACAATCAAGAAGGAACTGACCCAGATCAAGCACAAGGTGGACTACCTCCTGGAGAGCTTGGAGAGGATGGAGAGGGACCACAGCAAGAAGTCAGGTACACGCCTCTCTCCATCTCTCCCTCTCTCGCCTGATCTCCCCTTTTCTCTTGCACTCCTCCACCAACTTCTCGTCCCCCCCCCTTACTCTCGTACGTCAGTGTTGCCGTCCTTCCAGACCTCTCTGATACTCTGATCACACACTGTTCCTCAACCGCCCCCCTCCTACACGCATCTCATCAGTCTTCATTATCGGCACTGATCCCCTTTCTCTTCCTCTTCCTCCTGCCCCTCTCTCCCCTTCCCCCCCTCTTCACCCAGCAGGCAAGAGCGCCAAGTCAGACGGGGGCGAGAGCTCCACCCAGCACAGCAGCTCCAGCCTCAAGAAGGAGGAGTGCCTGAAGAGGGAGAGGGAGAGCCAGGAGCTGCCCGACTCGGAGGAGGAGGGAGACCTGCTGGAGGATGAGGAGGAGGTGAGCGAGAGGAGGGGAGAGGAAGAGGGAGAGCTGCTGGAG